TACAGGAGTATTACCCACCCTCACACACAGGGAGTTATTTTAGTTAACAAGCAGCCACTCATACCGAGGCCTACCGACCTATTATAACAGTAGAAGCTGGGTCCACCTGAGAAGAATTCTAATGTTATTACTCTATTATAATTTACTAAATATCATTAGGTTTTATTGTGAGTATATGATATTATCCTAATCCGACAACCTAATGGACTAATTTACATAGTCATTTATTGAAACTTGCTCCTGCCCACCGCCGGACAGGACGTGAGCTACCCTGTTAACCTATTGTACAAAATTGTGCACTTTGTTCATTTATGTAGTTACAATACTTTAATCAAAAGAACAGTGCACTATGCATTGAATTCCTACAAAACTAACCTTGTCTGATGCCTATTACCAATGTTTCTATGCATATCCATACCATTGCCAAACGCTGTATTCACTACTGCACTGCCAAAAATAAATAAAAAAATTAAACAATATCAGGAACTATTCCTTTACTGAGAGGGTAGTGGATGTATGGAAGAGCCTTCCAGCTGAAGTGGTAGAGGTTAAGACAGTGAGGGAGTTTAAGCATGCGTGGGATAGGCATAAGGCTATCCTAACTAGAAGATACGGCCAGAGAGTAATGAAAGTATTTAGAAAATTGGGCAGACTAGATGGGCCCAATGGTTCTTATCTGCCATCACATTCTATGTTGCACACAAATCAACTTAGGCCATATATAACAGATGACCTGGAAGATGGGCAAAAATAATACAGATTCCACCTTCAAGGCGCGCCTGCGCCGATAGTGATCCTTGTAATTTTCATGACTCCCATCCATTCGAGTGTTCCTAGTTACCTGTTTGCTATTGAATTTATGCCTTGTTTATGTTTTTACTTTAAATATATTGCTACCTTGGACTTCTTATGTATCAGATATTGTAAAGGAAAGATACCAGTTTTAACGCTTCACTATCACAGGGGTGTTTTTACTTTTGGATTTTTAGTGCGTTTTCTATTTGTGGAGGGCAGTAAGGTTAACCCCGCATGTGGGTTGTGAGCTGCTAATATTACCGGTTATTTTAAAGCACTTTTTAATAATGTTCTTGACTTAAATTGTTCATAAATTAATGTTGATTTCTTTACTGTTTTTTGAGAAGGGAAGTAGGTGTCATGTATGGGCTGTTTGGGGGGATAGAGAAAATATATATATATATATATATATATATAAATATATATATATATATATATATATATCTTGCACTGGTACCCTGCACACACACTTTCAAAGTACAAAAAATGCCGGGTGCATAATAGCCATAGCCAAACAATATAGAGTATTCCAAAAATAAGGCTTGCACTCACGGTCTGTAATAATGTTAAAAGTTCTTCTTTATTGCGATATCCTTAAAACAAATCTGTAGTCATCAACGTTTCAGCCATCACTGTATTGAACTGATCCTGATGAAAGCCACAAGTGATGGCTGAAACGTTGATGACTACAGATTTGTTTTAAGAATATCGCAATAAAGAAGAACTTTTAACATTATTACAGACCGTGAGTGCAAGCCTTATTTTTGGAATACTCTATATATTATATATTTATATTTATTTATATATTATGGGCATTTGGGCTGTTGATGCACTTCCTTTCTTCTGCTTCCTGCCTCTTGTCAGTAAGTGGAATGTTCTAGGGATCAAAATGATGGTGGCTGAAGAAACCCTGTGTAATAAGGTAGCAACACGAGGAACCTCTTGTGTCTGTATTAATAAAGTGAGTACTTGGTTGTACAGAAAGTGACTTTTGTATAAGATAGAGCTATATCAGGAACATCAACGCCTATACAAAACATCACACAAAACATCATACATATACCATTCAGTGCCAGCTATATGCATTCTGTTTTAAAACACTTTTGTACAGAACACTTTGTTGCATAAATGTATTCAAACTCCCAACACAACTTTTATCCCCTTAAGGACCAATTGGTTTTTTTTTTTTGCCTGCAGTCTGGCTCCAAGAGACTGTACAGTAGAAAAGCTTGTCCTATTTGATTAGCATTGCCAATTTTGTAACGTTCAAGTGTTTGTAAAGGAGTTGGGCATTGCATTTTGGAAAAAGTATCCTTATACATCTGATTGTTTTGAAGGCATGAACCATAATTGGTCTTTAAGGGTTTTATCATTTGTAGAATTAGTGTCTTGATGTCACTTACAGCCCAGAGAGAGAGTCTCAAGAGAGAGATAAACAGTGGGGTGCGATCCCAGCCAGAAATACAGTGTACAAGGAGGCCATTGTTGTCTGTAGGAAGTTAACAGAAGGAGGAAACGTTAATATTAAGAAGCCAGAAGATCCAAAAAAAATTAGGTCAATAAAAACTCTAAAATCACTATAAAAACCGTCCTAGTGGTGAATGTTGGATATTTTCACTCAAACAGGTTTTATCTAATCATATGACTAATAAAATAAAGTAACATGGGCAAAGCATTGCAAATGGAGTCCTGTGTATCTAATGCAAACAATTATGAATTTACTGAAGGGAATACCCTTCACCGCAACAGCAGTAGGCCAGAGAAAGACACTTGTAGTAAATATATATATAAAAACTCACAAGTGATAAGGTTGCTTCAAGTTGAATCATTTAAATCAAACTCTTACCATCACTGTTTATGATATGGATGAGAAGCTTCAGGTAATTCTGGGTTTGCTTCACCAAGTCCCAGCTCTGAATGCGAAGAAAATAGGAAAAGGTTGAGGGCGGGGTCAATATTTCACAGAATACAATACTAAATGCATAACATCACCACAAGTATGTAGCTTGTCAAAAAACATGAAGCTAGATGTACATCGATCAAAGTAAAAATCACATTAACACAAACTACAATCTGACAGACCCTGAAGGATGCTTTCAGAGTGTTGGTATGTAGCCTGTGTTTCAAAAAGAAAAGTCAACTTAGCAATTCTCTACTTCTTGCTGGGCTGTGCTCTAGTTCAGACCAGACTCATAAGATGATGCAGCATTTTTTACTTGCTAGTAGCACGTAGTGTCTCATGAGTCTTGCCAAATGTAACTACAATTCATTAACTCACCACCACAAGATCAGTCCCTTCCAGCAGCTAAAAGTTTACATAGAGAGCAAGTATACAGAAAATGTACGTATATAAGATCTACTATGAAAACAGAAATTTTACTTACCGTAAATTCTTTTTTTCTTAATATGGTGGTAGTACCATTGGGTTTTGCTCCTCCCCTGTGGACAAGACCTCTAGCAAGGTAATAATGATCAAAAAGACCCTTCCCACTTGCCCCATAAAACGTTGTACTGCAAAATCTACCCCAGTACGTGACAAGAGAAAGAAACAGACCAAATGTACTGCAAAAATGTTTTAATAAAGAGGGAGGAAAGCCGTACTGCCACCATATTAAGAAAAAAGAATTTACAGTAAGTAAAATTTCATTTTTTTCTGTCATTTTGTGGCAGTACCATTGGGATATAGCAAGATCCCCAACCGGGCGGGACTTAAGCCACGACAGCTTGTAACACCTTACGCCCAAAAGCTGCTTCAGAGGCAGAGAATATGTCTAGCTGATAGTGCTTGATAAAAGTGTTAAAAGACGACCAGCATGCTGCCTTGCAGATGACCTCTGGAGAAGCAAGTGCCCTTTCTGCCCATGAGGTGGCCATTGCTCGGGTGGAATAAGCCTTAAGCGTAACTGGAGCTTGAAGACCTGCTGTAGAGTACGCCAATTCTATAGCTTGAATGAGCCAACGGGATAAGGTGCCGCGGGAAGCCACATTCCCCTTGAAGTGACCTTGAAAACGAATAAACAGGTGATCCGAAATTCTGAATTCTTTCGTTCTGGCAAGGTATACAAGTAAAGCTCTTCTGACATCCAATTTCTGCCATTTGAGCTCCTGAGGAGATGAGGCTTTACTACAAAACAATCAGCTGATTAATATTTTTTGAAGACAAAACTTTAGGTACAAAAGACGGTCTTGGATAAAGAACAACCTTGTCTTTGTGAAAAATAGTAAATTCATCCGAGGAGGACAGAGTGTGAAGTTCTCCCACTCTCTTAGCCGATGTGATGGCTACCAGGAATGAAACTTTAAGAGACAAAATTCTTAATGGAACTTCTACCAAAGGTTCGAAGGGATGAACACAAAGAGCTTGTAGGACCAGGGATAAGTCCCAAGCTGGAAACACCGATCTTCTAAGAGGACGTCTGAGGCTGATGGACCTAAAAAAATCTTCTGATGAAAATATTGGAGGCCAAATCCTTAATTAGAAAAAAAGCTTTAGGCCGATATGTGAACTTTGAGTGTGGAAAGCTGAAAATCCGTCTTGTAAAAAAAAAAAAAAAATGGAGAATGTTATCTAGAGATGGATGTAAATCAAAGCACTGGTGTTCCCTACACCAGTGGAGAAAGAAGTATATCTTAGACGTAAACTTCCTGGCAGCGTGAAGTAAGATAGCTATTCTGTCTTCTTGTAAACCTTGGTTAAGAAGGATTAGCCTTGCAGTAGCCAAGCCGTCAACCTGAATATTTTTAGAACTTCCAAGGGCAGGTTCCTGTTCACAATGAGGAAGTTTGGTATGAGAAGATGGTCATCTTCTTTAAAGCCGAAAACCAGACTTTGTTTGGCCAATATGGAATTATTGCCAATACTTTCGCTCTGTCTGTTCTTATCTTGAGAAGGACCTTTGAGATTAAAGGCAGAGGCGGAACACGTAAGCCAGACTGAAGTTCCACTATCGATAGAGCGTCTATCCATTTGGGTTGATCTGCTCTGAATAGGGAGGCGAAGCTGTAAACCTTTGTGTTCGATGCTCTTGCCATCAAGTCTACTTCCAGAAATCCAAATCTTTCTGCCAGGATTCTGAATATTTCCGGGTTCAAAGACCATTCTTTTTGATCCCACTTCCCTCTGCTTAGATTGTCGGCTATTACATTGTCGCTCCCTCTTATGTGGACTGCCGAAATGTCTTCCAGATATTTTTGAGACCACTCCATAATTTCTGCACAAAGAATAAAGATTCCTTATTTTGGTTCCTCCTTGGCGATTGATATATGAGACTACTGTACGATTGTCTGATTGAATCTTTACCGTTTTTTGTTGTACCCAAGGCCTGAGGTGATGTAGAGCGTAAAGAACTGCTAGTAATTCCCTGAAGTTTGCGGATTCTTTTGCCTCCCTTACTGACCATATTCCTTGGAACATGGTGGTGCCCATATGAGCTCCCCAACCAGTCTTTGAAGCGTCTGTAGTGACTATTATCCAGTCTTTTGGACGGAAAGAAAATCCTCCTGAAAGGCACACTGAGGTTTTCCACCAAGTAAGCAGAGTCTTTACCTGAGGGGATAACAAGAACCTTCTGTCTAAATCTTCCTCCTTTTTTGACCAGGTTGTCAGAATGTTCCATTGTAGAGGTCTGACCTTTGATCTTGCCCATTTGACTGCTGGAAAAGCGGCAGTTAGAAGGCACAATACGCCCATGGCCTGTCTGAAGGAACAACTTTCCATCTTTTGGAGATTGGTAAATCGCCTCTCGAATTTTTCTCCTTTTTAGTCTGGGAAGATGAATTGACAAGGAGACTGAATTGATTCTGAGATCCGAGAAACTATTTCTCTTGTTGGAATGAGAACTGACTTCTTTAAGTTCAAGATCCAACCGTGGTCTTGAAGAAATCAGATAGTGACCTGCAGGTCTTTGAGCAGCTGCTCTTCTGTATGTGCCATGAGGAGCCAGTCGTCCAGATATGGGATAATCGATACTCCAAATTCCCTCAAATGAGCTGTCAGAGGAGTCAAGATTTTTGTAAATATCCTTGGGGCGGATGACAGACCAAATGGCAGAGCCCTGAACTGGAAATGATCGGCGGATCTTCCTCTTTTTATCACAAATCTTAGAAATTTCCTTGAAGTGGTAGCAATCGGAACATGCAGATAGGCATCCTTCAAGTCTATTTTTACCATAAAGTAGCCTCTTTGTAGAAGAGGAAAAATAGAAGAGTTTGATTCCATGCTAAACCTTTGATACGGGATAAACCGGTTGATGGTTTTTAAATCCAAAATGGGACGAAAAGAGTGGTCTGGTTTTGAAACCAGGAATAATCTTGAGTAAACTCCCCGAAATCTTTGCTTTTCTGGTACTCTATCACCCTTTTTTGCAAAAGTAGCATGGTTTGAGAAGATAGGGCTTGTGATCTTTTTGAAGACTGGTAAGTTGATACCAGAAATTTTGCTCTTGGTTTCTCTGTGAATATAATCTTGTGTCCCTGCTGGATCTGACTTAGAACCCAGGGATTGCTTGTGGTTCTTTCCCATGCCTGAAAAAAAAGTTGGAGTCTTCCTCCCCACACTTCTGGCGTCAGAAAAGTCTATCTTTATCTCTGAAGGATCTTTTAACATCACCTCTTTGTTCAAATCTCCGATTTTTGTCCCTTCTTTGAAAAAATGCGGTCTCTCTTGATAGGATCTCCTGTATTTATACTGGTAATTCCTGTAACCCGATCTCTTATCTTGAGCAAGGGCCTTTTTAGTTTCTGACATTTGCTTAATTATTTCTTCTAAAGGAGCCTCAAATAACTTTTTTTTTCTAGTGGAAGCTCACAAAGGACTGATTTGGAAGCTGAATCCGCCGTCCATGACCTTAACCATAAGGCTCGTCTTGCTACCGATGGCAATACTATTATTCTGGATGCCAATTTAAGAACCTCCACCTACATATCCAACAGATATTCATTAGACAAGCGCATATTCTGAAACATGTGACTAAGCTCTTTATCTTGGTCAGAAGATAAAATATCTTGTATGCCATTTGCTCTGGCAACCGCTGCTCCTGCCAGTAAAGCCTTGCATTGAAAACCAGCCATCTGGTAAGCAAGCCTGCAAGAGGTTTCATCTCGTTTATCCATTGGATTTTTTTTAAAGCCGAAGTTTCCCCAATAGGAATAGTGGTCTTTTTAGCAATCTGAGCCACCTGGACATCTACTTTAGGGAGATCTTCCCAGACTACTTCGCCAGCCAGTCTGAAGAAATCTTTAAAGTGTTTGGATATAAAGGCACGTTTCTCAGGGTTTCTCCATTCCCTGAATATTAGATCCACCAGGGTTTGTTGAACAGGAAACCCTCTTTTAGGATTCTCCGGGCCTTCCGCTAGGATCACCAGGTTAACTTCCTTTATGAATTTACAGATTTCATCCAGAGGAAACCCCACTGGTTCACTTGATGAGGATCCTGACCCATCTGAATCTATAGAGGAAAAACATTCCCCGGATGACGTCTCAGATGATCTTTTCTTGATTCTCTGATGTCCTTGCTGTATAGAGGATTCCACCTTTTTGGACTCTTTAATAGTCTCCAAGGTCTGGGCCAGATTTTCTTGGAACCAGGTTAGGAAAGATTGCATATCTTTTTGCTTATCTCTTTCCAAGGAATTTGCAGTACACTGACTGCACACCTTCTTCCTTGATCCGTCTGGAAGAGGAGTTGCACACTCACTGCAAATTAGATGTTTTGATTTTGCCGTAGCCTTTCTAGGCATGGAGGCTGCCAGTTTTTCCTTGTCCATATCAGGATAAGCTGGGCTAGATATATCTGTGGAGAAAATATAAATGGAGGCTTAAAATGTTTGATATTTCCTCATAAAATTTTCAGAGCATATTTTAAAAGTAAAGATTTCTTTACTCTTACCTCAAAATACCTCTGAGCCGTGTGGGGGGGCAGGTGACACGGCATACCTCTTCTGTCCTGCATCCATGTAGTCAGTGGGTACCTGCACAGCTCTCTATTTATACACCTGCATTACAAATTTTCGTGTTTTTTTGTTCTGTCTCTTTAAGCTTCCGGCCTGCGCATGCGTTTTAGCGCAACCGGAAGTTTAGGTGGAACGCAACACCACCCGGGCGTGCGTTCCACCGCTGTGCGCCTGCTCAGGATAAACTCCGCCTCCAGGAAGCATTGCCGGAACCATTCACGGCATAAATAGACTTTCACTCCACTTGCTCCGTAACCTTAGCGGTCAGGGCAGCTCTCAGACCGGGTCCCCCAGACAAACAACCCGTGTGTCTCACCATCGGATGTCCTGTCCTTCCCGCTCGGGACAAGAAAGGAAACTGGGGTAGGTTTTGCCGTACGGCGTTTTATGGGGCAAGGGGGAGGGTCTTTTTGATTATTACCTTGCTAGATGTCTTGTTCACAGGGGAGGAGCAAAACCCAATGGTACTGCCACCATATGACAGAAAAAAGTTACTACTAGGCTTTATATTGCAGAGATGATCACATCTGCAAAATGCTATAGATTACAAATATAAACAGTAAAGCTGAGTTAATAGGGCACATAGCAATGAATCCCTTAGCCAGTGTTGTACCCCAGGATCTTACTATTGGGGATAACATAATATTCTGGAACTCTGGTATTAAGCGCCAGAATAGTATGCTATGGTATCTGGTATTATGTGGTTTTCTAATCATTGTGCCTAGAGGGTGTGGCAGCTACTCCTCACTGACCAGGTCTAGAGAGGATTGCTGTACATCTTGTGCAGAGGGGACCTGCTGTTTGATCTAGACAGCCCATGGATCAGTTGAATATGCAAATAGTATATGTTACTTCCACAATGGTCCAATGGGGATAAAACTTGCTTGAGACCTGGGCATGAACTAGCTGAAGGACATCCCACAGAAGGTTTACGTGTCAGAATGCTCCAGTACCTTTAAGTTCCTTATGTCTGTTAATCATAAATATAATGGGTAATCCAGATGCTTGCTTCCTAATCCTAGAAGTGTTTCAGGTATACCACACTGATGAGGCTTAAAAAGGCCAGAACGATGGTGTGGCGATACAGAATCCCTCTAGCACAAGGAAACCGTCTGCCATTTCAGTTCAGGAGTGATTATGTGGGGTCAGTGGCATATGCATATGGTATAGGTTCTCTCTGTAATGTTCCGACAAAGCTAAAACTAGTTTGACAATGGAGTATGAACTAACTGGATGTTAAGACACAGACTATTGCCTGTTCTTTTTGCCCATGAGATATGCATAGAGCCAGCAAACCACCATCAGGAGCATACTATATAGTTCAGTGGTTTTCAAACAGTTTCTCAAAAACCTCTCGAGCCAAGTTCTGTTCATATCTCTAACAAAATCAAATGGTAATCCCAAATTACTTTAATTTCTAATCCAGTACTCAAGCACCAAAATTATTTAAATCAACGATTAATTACTGGAATAAGTGGTCACTTGAAGTGTATACAGATATTTAATTTAACAAACATAATATAGGTCACCAGATTTTTCTTCCTTATCAGTTTAAATTGACACATAACTGTACTGGATCACACACACACACAAAAAAAAAAAAAATTTTAAAAAAAAAAGATACAAATTAGATACAGTCATTTTGAAAAAGGAAGCACTAAAAATAAATTTAAAAAAAAAACACACGTTTGGTTGTGTGGATTGGTGATTCACAACTAAAGTTAAGGGGAAAAAAGCAGTAGGAAGGTGGAAGAAATAAGTTCTGCTTTCCATGTACATGCTTGTCTGAGTTCACTAAGTCATTTTACGCTCTTCATGCCACCTGACTAAAGTGGATTCAAATGAAAAGTCATTGCAAGCTTAGACCAAGGTACTGCAGACTGCCTATGAAAGGGACTCTACAGGAAAACTCAAAAACACCTGTATTAGAATGTAGGACTTAAATAAATAATGTCCTGACTTGTAGCAGATCTCAGCTTCAGTATAGTGGTAGTTATTGATCTGTCCCCTCTTGTAATAAGGACCAACGTGTACCCATGATATAGTATGGGTAGCAACAATGTAACAAATGAATAGCATTTGTGGCCAGTCTACCATGGTGAAGGATAAAATTAGAATTTTTGCACTGACCTGATACGCACTCCAATCAATGTTAAGGTTTCTGGTCAGAGTGCTGGGAATACTTAGAGGAGCATCAACAAAGTCCTTAAAGAAAAGAAGAACAAAATCGAAAAAAGAAATGTTAACATTTACATAAACACTGTGATAAGCCTAATAGACGTAGTATTTTATTTCCAATTGGACTTTTATATTTTGGTTATTCTATTTTCTAAAATTGCCTATTACTATATCCATCTTGTTGAGTTCCTGATTACGGATTTCCCTGGCTAGCTGGAACCATCTACCAGTCCCTGCTAGGAAACAGAAAAGTGTGATGTTTGGCTCCATCCTTTGCAAGCACGACAGATCACCTTTACTTTTACTCATATTGTAATAACTTACTTGCACCACTAAACTTTATTATATTTTACAGACTATTTACTGAAATAGGCATGTATACATGGATATACCATTTGTTACAGCTCCACCCCATTTTGTAGAGCTTTCAAATCTTACTTGTATGCCTGCTTTTGGCATTTAGCTCTACATCTCTCTGAAAATTGTAAATTGGTTCTGTGTGGTACATTTTTTAATATTCTCATATGTTGCAAGCACTTAAGTGCTTTTACCTTCAGCATAGGTGCTGGGATAAGGCAAATAAAGGGTTTTTAGCCCTTTATTTACTGAGTAGGAGGGGGGGCGAGGGATCGGTAGTGCCAGGAATACAGCTTTGTATTTCAGGCACTACATTATCCCTTTAATTGTCCACATATTGGAGCCTTACCTGTTTCCAGTTAAAAACAAGCCCTTCAGCAGAATAATTGCGATCTTTATAATCTTTAAAAAATTCACAGCCTGCAAAGAAAAGATGAAGTCTAGTTTACAAGATTATATTGTGAATGTGTATAAATAATCCTAATTTATGAGGGAAGCATTACTTCTTTCACATATTTCAACCATTTTACACACTTTGTAAAGTTCTCTATGTTGACAGCCAGGTAAGAATGACAGAGCTTTTAACAATGATTGACAGAGAGCCAAGATAGCACGAGTTACAGGATAAAAAGGTGTGATTTCTACATTTAAAATTAGATTTTTTGCACACCATTTAAATATTATATTTGCAAAATGTAAGCATAAAACCTTTTTTATAATATCGTGGAAAGTTACAGTCCAACTGTAAGTACAATATTGTATCATGATGTACCTGGGTAAGGGATAGACAGGAGCGTAAAGTCTGCATAGCGTTGAGCTTTATCCACTTTCTCAGAAGAGGTCACACTAAAGAAGTGATGAAAAATGTAATCAATGTACAAACACATATAATATTTGATTGTCTCTGCTAACCTAACCACTGATAAATACTGGATACAATAGGTATCTGCCATCCGACCTCAAGATAGTATTAAAAACATATGTCACAACTATTCCTCTTCCCCCTTTTCCTTACCTGCAATCCCCCCTCCCTTTTCTCCCATCACTGCCACTTTGCACCATCCTCTTTACCTTGCTTCTCCATGTCCCTTCTTTCACTCACTCTCACTCACCTGAAAGGAGAGTGAGTGAAAGAAGGGACATGGAGAAGCATTGGCTTTGCTTGGGGGATTCTGGATTTACTTGAATTCGTGCAAAGACTGTAAGACAGCACCCAGGACCTACTTGCAACATAACTTTATTATCAATAAGTTATGGCGGCCAAAGTGGTCCTATTAAAGTATTCACCATTTAGCAGAGATGTTCTGCCACTTGCTGCCTGGTACCCAATGGCAATACAGTGAGTTGCATCACAACAAGCCATGGGTAGTCTGTTTCAGCTACAGTACTCCATTAATATAGTAAACATTTATTTGAATAAAAACCACCAGACAAAAAAACTTCTAAATCAGGCAGGTATAGCCACAAATGACAAGTAAATGCAGGTATACATATACATGTGAGTATTTAATGTGTATCTTTTATGTCTAAATGGATTTAGTGTGGCAGTGATTAACCCTGATGATTTATTAAATAGTCAGGTATTGACCAGTAAACCTTCTTGGGACCTTTACTGATATGCCCTTGGTATAAGAGCAAAGACCACAAACTCAAAGATCCAGAGTAGTTGTGCAGTATCTTAGCAGCTGTGCAATTGCTACAAGAAAAAAAGACTGAAAGTTTGTAGACCCAGAGTAGCTGTGAAAGTATCCACACCATGTGATGCAGTGCGCCAAGAATAGTAGCACACAGGTCATAGTTTATGGCAGGATGGAAGAAGTGGAAAACAGGTAGGTGTGTATATATAGATAGATAGATAGGAGAGATCTCTCTCTATCTCGTTGAATCTAAACGTCATCTGCGAAGCATATGGATTGCATCTGTTCTAAATGAACTTATCACTATAATTTGTCACATTTTTTTCGGGGTCTTTCACCTTGGACCTTTTCAGCTCAGACATACTTTTAGAAATGTCTACATTTATTGGTGAGCTTTTGATTTGTGACCTCACTTTCACTTTCCCAGTATAGTCTGCCCATGTTTGGCATAACTGGTTTTTATGGAATGTCTCTTTAGAATTAAAAAAAGGTTACACTTTTTTAATTTATATTTTACTTATGTGTAACAACATTTCAGGTGTTGGCTATTTGCAACTTTTAGCTACCTTAAATTGCTTTAAAAACCTCACAATTGTTCTATAACTATTTTATCCAACAGGCATTCATTTGAACAACTTTGCAGTTGCACTAATGATGTACTACATTACATGAATAATATTTCCCCCTGCCTCCAAGACCTTTGTTTTTGACAGATATGTGCAGATATATGCTAAAGCGTTAGACAATAAGCACCTTTACAATTAATTACAAACTAATAGGAAGAGTACAGAAAATATATATACTCACTTTAACCCAAACTTCACTTTTTTATTCTCCACCATTAAATCACAAATGTATTTAACAGAGAGGTATCGTAACAACTTGATATCATGGCCACGAACTTTGTCAAACAGTTGTGAATCTCCATTTCTGAAATAACAAGTGACAGGCAAAAGACATTTTATGGTTTGATAGGCTTTATTAATACCACATCCTACAAACAGGCTGCAGTCTTGCTGCTTCCAGGTCAATATATTAAATAACCCATGACAGATTTACAGGCCTACATTTTCCACGGTAGGAAAGGGAATATAAATAGATTTTGAAATGTCTGGCACAGTTCCTGCTAAGTTTCACAGAAATTAAACTGTTCTACTGAAAGATCGAATCCTACGACTCTTTATATAGGATTAAAGAGAAACCGAAAAATCCACACCTGACTGCAGCGTCATCTTCTGCAACTTCCGAATCTGCCCAAACATCATCTGAGCCCCCTGCAGGAAATAAAGTATGAACATGAAACTATTAGAAACAAACAATGGGTGTATTTCACTAGCGCTTAGGGTCAAAATATGATGCATTGTCCAACATAAACACATTGTGTATTCTCATCGTAATACACACTATAACTAAAAAAAAAAAAAGTGGAAAAAACAAATACACAATATAAATCTGTTTTGCACACCATGTAAACACCGCTGTTTGGAGTGATTTACATACATACATACATGCTCTTATTGTTAAACACAAAACTATTGCTAACCACAGCTTATCCCTGGTGATTTATCTACAGATCCTGCCAATGTACAATGCACCACATGCCAGAGAGGAATCTGACACATCATTTGGATAGATCCATCCTGCATTGTCCTGGACAGTCTTACCACCAAGTGGATATTGTGTGGTATTACCGCTTATTGTGAATTTAATCTGCATGCTCTCCCTAAACAGGTTTCCAATCTACACTACAGGTTAGATTTAAAGACAGCTGAACTAGAATACTGACATACAAAGGAGGCTGCATAGCAAATTGGAGATTTCAGTCTTTGGCTTTTCACCAATACAGAAACCTCCACCTAGAAAAGCGTTTTTCAGCGTGGTCTAATCACATATATCCTTACAAGAGTATTGTAAAAGGTAGTATTCTTGACATGAGCCAAAACATAGGATACACAGCTCTATAGCAGTTACTGCAAGGCTTTTTTCCCCCCCCACACACAGAGCTTTGAGTTTGCAGGGACTATGATAAATCGACATAGTTTCCATGTAAAACCTGTCCGTGATCACCGTACCTGAGAAAATGTAGTTGTAACCAGTCCTGCCATATAACTCCCCCCATCCAGCCAGAGTTGCTGACCTACAAATATGCTGGAAGAAAACAAAGGGGAAAAAAAAAAAATAAATGGCTTATGACAACAGATAATAAAACACTCCTAAACACTAACAAACAAACAAAAAAAAACAAACAAACAAAAAAAAAACACAAAAAAGAACCAGATTAAAAAAAAAAAATTATTATATATATATTTATTTTGTTGAAGATCAGAAAAAAAAAACTAAAAACTTTTTAATAATATTCTATTTTTTTACAGTATATACTCGAGTATAAGTCTAGTTTTTCAGCACATTTTTGTGCTTAAAAACCCCCACTCGACTTATACTCGAGTCACTGTCTGTATTATGGCAACTTAGAGAGCCGCGGCCATCAGAGCCATGGCAACGATCCGCGCGGCAACCAGACCGCGAGACTTACAGTGGAGCTGACCGGAACGGAGAAGAAGGGAGCTGACAGGAGCTGCAGGAAAGGTAAGTAAATGCTTCCTGCCAGCCCCCCCACTTCAAATCCCATGCCACTGGACCACCAGGGATTAAGATAGCCCCCCTCCCTGACCAGTTAACAAGCAGGTAGGGGGGGGGACAAAAAAATAAATAAATAATAATAATAATATAAAAATATAAAAATAAATTCAAATAATAAAAATGCCCTCCCCCCACCCAGTTTACACACACTACACAAACACACACTCTGCATTATATACACACTCTACATTATATACACAGAGTGTGTGCATATAATGCAGAGTGTGTGTTTGTATGAGTGTGTGTGTATATATAATGCAGAGTGTGTGTTTGTATGAGTGTGTGTGTATATACAGGGAGTGCAGAATTATTAGGCAAATGAGTATTTTGACCACATCATCCTCTTTATGCATGTTGTCTTACTCCAAGCTGTATAGGCTTGAAAGCCTACTACCAATTAAGCATATTAGGTGATGTGCATCTCTGTAATGAGAAGGGGTGTGGTCTAATGACATCAACATCCTATATCAGGTGTGCATAATTATTAGGCAGCTTCCTTTCCTTTGGCAAAATGGGTCAAAAGAAGGACTTGACAGGCTCAGAAAAGTCAAAAATAGTGAGATATCTTGCAGAGGGATGCAGCACTCTTAAAATTGCAAAGCTTCTGAAGCGTGATCATCGAACAATCAAGCGTTTCATTCAAAATAGTCAGCAGGGTCGCAAGAAGCGTGTGGAAAAACCAAGGCGCAAAATAACTGCCCATGAACTGAGAAAAGTCAAGCGTGCAGCTGCCACGATGCCACTTGCCACCAGTTTGGCCATATTTCAGAGCTGCAACATCACTGGAGTGCCCAAAAGCACAAGGTGTGCAATACTCAGAGACATGGCCAAGGTAAGAAAGGCTGAAAGGCGACCACCACTGAACAAGACACACAAGCTGAAACGTCAAGACTGGGCCAAGAAATATCTCAAGACTGATTTTTTCTAAGGTTTTATGGACTGATGAAATGAGAGTGAGTCTTGATGGGCCAGATGGATGGGCCCGTGGTTGGATTGGTAAAGGGCAGAGAGCTCCAGTCCGACTCAGACGCCAGCAAGGTGGAGGTGGAGTACTGGTTTGGGCTGGTATCATCAAAGATGAGCTTGTGGGGCCTTTTCGGGTTGAGGATGGAGTCAAGCTCAACTCCCAGTCCTACTACCAGTTCCTGGAAGACACCTTCTTCAAGCAGTGGTACAGGAAGAAGTCTGCATCCTTCAAGGAAAAACATGATTTTCATGCAGGACAATGCTCCATCACACGCGTCCAAGTACTCCACAGCGTGGCTGGCAAGAAAGGGTATAAAAGAAGAAAATCTAATGACATGGCCTCCTTGTTCACCTGATCTGAACCCCATTGAGAACCTGTGGTCCGTCATCAAATGTGAGATTTACAAGGAGGGAAAACAGTACACCTCTCTGAACAGTGTCTGGGAGGCTGTGGTTGCTGCTGCACGCAATGTTGATGGTGAACAGATCAAAACACTGACAGAATCCATGGATGGCAGGCTTTTGAGTGTCCTTGCAAAGAAAGGTGGCTATATTGGTCACTGATTTGTTTTTGTTTTGTTTTTGAATGTCAGAAAATGTATATTTGTGAATGTTGAGATGTTATATTGGTTTCACTGGTAATAATAAATAATTGAAATGGGTATATATTTGTTTTTTGTTAAGTTGCCTAATAATTATGCACAGTAATAGTCACCTGCACACACAGATATCCCCCTAACATAGCTAAAACTAAAAACAAACTAAAAACTACTTCCAAAAATATTCAGCTTTGATATTAATGAGTTTTTTTGGTTCATTGAGAACATGGTTGTTGTTCAATAATAAAATTAATCCTCAAAAATACAACTTGCCTAATAATTCTGCACTCCCTGTAATTATAAAAATCACAGAATTTCATAGCCCCAAGTTTTACCCTCGACTTATCCACGAGGCATAGCATATTTCACAATTGTTGGTCACAAAACTGCACTCGACTTATACATGAGATCGACTTATACACGAGTATATACGGTAATTTATTTTTTAAAATATTTCTCATGTGTAATGCTGCAGCATTATTAATAAAAATTTAAAAAAAATAAAAATTTTCTGACGTTTTGAATATCCGAAAAGTCACCACTGCCCAGAGAAGGATGGGATCATGATGCTCTAATACTTTTCACAGTGATAATTTACTCCAATATATACAGGAGAGGTTTATGGAAGTTGTCATCAGCAGCGTTATACTTATGAACTATTCAGTGTGATATATGAGGAAACAAACACCTGTTATTAGAGAAACCGTGCAGAAAGAAGGGGCTTTTTGAGCTGTGTCATCATATACCAGCAAAAAGTGCTTAAAATGGGAAGATGGGAGAGGAGTAACTATGCATATTTTCAGATTTTTTTAATTTTAATAAACTGACAAAAGCCCCAAAAGATGAAAACAGAACTGCCATAGATCGTTCTAACTGGCCAATATATCCATAGTTGCTGTTTACTTGCTTACCAGTTATGAGTCAGTATTCACACTAACTCACCATCTATTGGAATACTTAAAATTTTTGAGTCTTGTATTATACATGTATTCTCAGTGATACTCCAAAAGATTGGGAGATAGAGATCTGAGAAGGTACAAGGAAGGTATGTTTTCTTACCTTTCCCTTGTAGAGTATGACCGGACAGGCAAAGCGCCCTCGGCAACGTGCCATCTTGCTGCGATTCACGAGATCTTGCAGCTTGCCGACTTGTACTGTACTCTCAAACCTGCAACAGAAAAAAAAAAAGGCTTAATTTCACAACTTTTTCCAATGTGATAAAAATATTAGTGAAGGCATTTAAGGTTATGGTCTATATCCATAATAGTTCATGTGGGCAAACTGATGTATATATTCTGAAATATCTAGTACATCTGCAAACACGAGCCTGCTACTTTTTTTTTTCTTTAATTCTTTATTTTAGTAGTGCATACATTATACATGTATGCTTGCATTGCCACAACAGCTGGTGCAGGCTGGACATAGAGAAACAGTTGTATGGCATATTAATATTGCACATGTTTATGAGTTAATACATGAATATAGGAACAAGCCAAGTTTAAAGAGGCTATGGTGGGTTATGCAAACTGAGTTAGGATTCCTTTTAACGTTGTTACACATAGCCCTATAGAGTATGAAAAGGTTGCACTATGCTATATGTATGGCACATGTTTATACGAGTGTTGTTGCCTGCTTTTATTAACATCAGATTTAGGAGTATATACACAATCCAAATAAATATTAACTTTTAGCAAGAGCTGTGGCAATGGTTTATCAGTCCCATTTTAAGTAGTATAAAAATAACTGATCTATCTGCCAAGTTTATTCTAAAACATGAATGCTAGCACGCCTGTGCACTCATGGTAACCTATCCAGACAGAGCGTTGTTCTTGCACAGAATATTCAGGTAAAGCTGAAAATGTAGGTGTGTGCGAAGCATGAAATGTTGGACTAAGCTAGAATAGAGCTTACATAAAAGATTAATGTTGTATGTACTGGCACAGGGAATAATCTAGGTGTGACAAGCATTAACCAATACAAGCTATGAGGACAATCAGCCATGAATTAAAATAGAACCTGCCATTTTTGTACATCCATAGAGATATGCTGCCCCCTACCTGCATAGTGAACAACAACCTTTCCTTCAACAATGCAGCCATGCCAAGAGCAAACACCCTACTAATCCGAAGGGATGCAGCATCCCTTCTTAAAAAGGGACTTTATTTTCAACCCATAATCTCCTTGTTCTTTTCTATTCAAATGTCACTTTTGTAATTTTATTTAGGATTTCTACACTTTAAGTGCATAACAAAGCTTCTCCGCAATAAATTAGGAAAAATATCTGTCTTTAATTCTTGTTTAAACTGCATTTTCTCTCACATTCAGATAATTAAAATGGTTCGACAGCCCAACTTCTGCCAAACCCTTAAAATGAAAGTGTCCTATTTTGACTATTCCATATGTTGGAAGGTATCATGTAGTTGTTACTATGCTGTACTGCAAAGTTAAATGCATTTCCCAAAACCTCTATTTTTGTGTCAATAGAAGCTGACTTGCAGATCAGAGGGACAAAACAAAAAAAAACACAAACCAAAACTTCCCCTTGCGTGCTATCGCAGTTCCCCAGTGACTATGCAACATTACAATGCAGCTGCAATTGGCATAATCTGTATAAGTCTAGAAAGAGCAAGGTTTATTTTGGAGTAGAATTCTTGCGCAAAACCAGCAACACTTAAAGCAAAATGCAAGTGTTACCTATATTGGCACTCTGGCTGTGAGGTCATGCTGAGCAAATTTAAATAGCTTTCCAAAGACAGAACATATTAACCCTTTGACGAACATTGGAATGCAAGATATGCAAGGACATAAAGAGATTTCCCAAGGCTGTGGTGCACAACGTGTTACAGTGAATCTGATATTTTTTTTCACAGTACCGTGCAGCTAATTAAATATGGACAGGTGCATTAATAAAGGGACATTTTAATTTCTCCAGCAGGCCTTTTATGGAGATTCACCTCCTGCCACGTTCTGAACTTGAAAGCTGAAATATTGGAGATTAATTTTGCATAGAAGTCCATGAATACACAATATACTCACAGCTGCACTAAAGGCCCCTGCTGTCCTGCAAGACACATGGTCTTCACACTTCTTAAAATTATAGAGTTATTAGATTCTATAGCAACCGAAGCAGTTTACACTTACATGGTTTTGTCTTCCTCAACACTCTCATACTCCATGAAGACGATTTGTCGCGGGTAATGACTGCAAAGCTCCCCATTTGTGTTCTGGATGATGCTGAAACAATAATCTTTCCCAAATAATTCCAAACAGCGCTTTTCAATATTTTCCACCTGCAGAAATACAAGCATTAATGTAACAATCCCCGATACTGAGACGTAAAGACACACAAACCAGGACTATATTGGTGCAAGTAAGACTACCAAGATCCCTGTTAGACTTGGTACTAGAAAATGCCCTCTGCACTGTCCACGCATCTCATTAGAGTACACAGTAGCCAGGCTTTGTACTTTCATAAACAAACCTCTTTCATTTCAATTCAGTCCAAAAATATATGAAGACAAAAGTAGAGATATACTAAGACAAAGTAAGCCTTACAAAACTTGAAAAAAAGGCAGAGATACCTCAGCCAAGTTGTGGCATTTTCTCCAGACGTTACCAATGACAGGTGTAAGGGAAAAGGCTGGGTCTGTGGAGGATCCCGTAGTCTCGCAGGATACTCCATTGACCTTAGTTCTGTACTCTTGCGCATGTGCGAGAGTAGAACACTGATATGAGCTCCTGGCAGATGAAGCTCAATATGACGGCAGCCGCCATGAGGGTCTTTTTCAGCTAAATATATTAAAAAACAAACAAAAAAAAACAAAAAAACACACCTCTTTCCCCTGCATCCCACAGCCACCAGACAGCCAGCAGAGCAGTCACCGTTGGCAGTCTTTGCAAATTATAAAATGACCCCAGACAGTGGCAGGGCAACACTGAGCAGATACCAGGCAGGTAAAAGATCACATAGGAAACACTGATTTGCGAGTTGGTTTTCATGGACTAAATGTCTAGGGATTAGTATTTCTGCAGGGATGCAGTTAAAACAGACCATTGGTGAATGCCTTAGTCGATCTGACTAGATTTCATTTGACAGTCACAGAACAGTTTACAAAATTTGTCTTTAAACCCTATAGTGTTAAAAAACAAAACTGTGTAAAACTTCTAATAAATTGTGAATATTATATCTCAAATATCAGCCTTAGCATTGGTCATAATGCTCAAGGAATACAACACTCTAAAAAATAGTATGAATTTAGAATAGTATAGTGTACTAATAGGTTTAATCTTATAGTTTAGAGAAGCAGGCATATGCAATACTGATTCCCCTTGAAAAAAGTTAGACACTCTAGGTATCAATACAAACTTTAGCTTAATGAAGTAGTTTTGGTGGATAGATCATATCCCTGCAGTCTCACTGCACAATTATCTGCCATTTAGGAGTTAAATCACTTTTGTTTCTATGTATGCAGCTCTAACTGCATGTAACGCACACAGCCAGCATGGAAAAAAATAATAAAAAATTTCAAATCAGATGTTACCTTGCCAGATGGTGCAATAAGGGAACCTAAAATATCTAGGTTACTTTTCAGGTAATGTTAAAGGACCGCTATAGGCACCCAGACCACTTCAGCTTAATGAAGTGGTCTGGGTGCCTGGTCCAGCTAGGGTTAACCCCCTTTTTATAAAACATAGCAGTTTCAGGGAAACTGCCATGTTTATAATAGGGTTAATCCAGCCTCTAGTGGCTATCTCATTGACAGCCGCTAGAGGCGCTTGCGTGCTTCTCACTGTGAAAATCATATATATAATTTTTAATTTTTTTTGATGGGGACGGTTTTAGAATCGGTGTAGCGTATAAACGTATACACGTTGCTAAAATATTCCGTCACAACTTATTAGCAGACTTCTATTGTACTAAACTTTATAAGTGTGTTAACAAGTCTTCTTGTCTATAGAATGTAAGGCTAAAAAATATATATATATATATATATATATATATATATATATATATATATATATATATATATATATATATATATATATATATATTTATTTATTTTTTTATTTATTTATTTTTTAATATATAGGTTTGTTTATCTGTTACCAAAAGTAATTTGAAATTTTGATGAGACCCTTGTGAGATTTTTTTTCTATCATGTAGTTTATTTAAAATTGTAATAGGTCTATCTACATTGGACTGCACTCATAATTTGCCTGGTCAGTTAAATGCATTAGAAATCAGATGTCACACATCCGAGTGTTTTTTTTTGTTTTTTTTTGCATAAACCTCACATTTAAAGGTGCCCTGTAAGCACCAAAACCACTACAGACAAACAACTATGTTTAGATGTGTGACTGTCAGACTGCCGTAAGAGGCACTTCCTATAAAGGCTGTAACAAGTTTAGTCTTCATGTTCCCGAAGAACATGAAGAAATAAATCCTATTTGTGATTGCCACAAGTGCAATAGAGCATCAATACTGCTCTATGGGGAAGCATTTGATTGGCAGAGATCATCTCTCCAGATAAATTCAGAATAAGGAGATGCAGGTATGGCTAGACCGAGACACTGCAAGATTAAAGAAGAGTTTAGTTTTATTAATTTAATTTTATACAGGGGGCCTCAATAACCTAAGCAGGATCAGTGTAACAATTTTTTTTATTTTTTTTTTATTGGGGGTATATTTAAAGGGACACTATAGTCACCCAGACCACTTTAGCTCAATGAAGTGGTCTGGGTGACAGGTCCCCTAGGTTTTAACCCTTCAGATGTAAACATAGCAGTTTCATAGAAACTGCAAGGTTTACATTGCAGTGTTAATCCAGCCTCTAGTTGCTGTCTTCCTGACAGCCGCTAGAGGCGCTTCTGCGACGCTGGATGTGAAAATCGCATTCAGCATGCCGAACGTCCATAGAAAAGCTTTCCTATGGACTGTTTAGATGCGTGCCGCACATGTGAATTCCGCTCCACTCGGGAGCCGACGTCAGTGGGGGAGGAGAAGTGGCTGAAGGGGACCCTGAGGGTGGGGTAGACCTAAGGGTTATATAGTGTCAGTAAAACGAGTTTGTTTTCCTGACACTATAGTGATCCTTTAAAAACAGCTTGCAAAACCTGCAGATCTCTTGTCTCCAGCCTGGGCAAGTCCTCTCCTTCTAAACCCGCCCAGACTTTCTGCGGCTGTCCAATTAGAGTCTTCCCAATGCAGCTCTATGAATAATCTTTGCAAGACAGGTGCTCTGGGCAATTTCTGCCGACTGAATTTAGCTCCACTGAGCTAACCAAACCAGGAAGTAACAGAACCAGATGTCTGTCTGTCAAGGGGGCGTAACAAGGTTAACTTATATTAAAAAAAAAAAAAAAAAAAGCACTCTTCACAAATAAAGCACTTCAAGTGTCTATGTTTTATCCCAGAAAGAATATAGAATTTATTTAACCTACACAGTACAATACATGTATCAAACTACTGAAGATGTGCCAAAATGGATTTGCTCTTGTAAGGCATTTCCCTACAGATGCAAAAGTATGCATAAGCACAACCAGGGCATTAAAGAAAAGTAGTCAACTTGGACATGGAAGTGGTGCTTTTTTTGTTTTTCTTAATTATATCCACATAACTTCCAACATTTGACATTTCAAATGGACAAAGAAGAGGACTTTAATTTTAGATGTGGTCAGGGGCTGGGCTGCTCTGAGAAATTTTAGGTGACCTGCCAAACTATGCAACCAATATGTAATTTAGAACAAGTACAAGGCATCTTATTTACACAGACGGATTTCTAAACAACTCTGCTTTAATTTAAAAACACAGTTCTGTGCGTATTATTCCTACAGAGCTCTGTTATATTGTAGGGCACTGCAAGAATATGGAGCTCCTACAAAAGAGGGACCCTATGACAGAAAAGAGGAACAGAGGGATTTGAACCCAAAATTGGGACTGTACCTCCTAAACTGGGACACTTGGGAAGTGTGCAAACCCTAAGCTACTTATCTCAGCAAGTGCTTAAAATTTTTTTCTGGGGATGAGGGAATGAGAAAAAAAAAAAAAAAAAAATTAATCCTCCAAGGTCTGTTTTAAGAAATACATTTCCCATTAGGTTCTCACGGCATTAAGAACTAGAGCTGTCTGCAGGGTCAGCTTATGAGCACATGAACTTGGTGGGCGTTGCATGAAAAGCACTCCCCAGCAGTTAGCAGAATGATGCACCTGCTGCAGAATTAATCCCCAATTAGTGAGTGCAGAGCTGTGTGACTGACTGCTCCTGGTCCATAGAGCTTGCACATACCATGGGGCAGCACCATTCATGTATTGCACAACCCCATCACGTGCTGTATTGCCAGAGTGCATGGTGTATGTGGGGATCATGTGTCAGACAGAGCTGGCAGCACACAGTGTGCGGGTATACAGGGGGAGGGGAGGGGATATAATATATTGCTGGGTGATTACAGTGATATTATTATTATTATTAATATTCCAGTTTCCCTGGCTGCACAGTGTTATTAGGGGGCTGTAGTGACACAGGGGGCGTTGTTGTTGTTGCTGGGGGTGGGGGTATTCCCATGTTAATTACTATGGCCGGTCTCCCGGTCTCGGGTTCGGTACCGGAACACTCACCTTCGGATTCGGGTCCTTGGCTCGGAACTGGGCCCGGGAGAACTCCTCCAAGAGCTCCGACAGACCATCCAGGCAGCCCGCCGCCTCCTCCATGACTAGCGGATCCGGGGCACCGAGCTCAGCCTCTCCCGGTTACCGGAGACCTGCGCTCTCTCGGAAAGGGACATCCGCGGCGGCGGCGCTTTTACGATGACGTTGTATTTTTCTTGACAGCTGTCGCGTGCGCGAACTGATGACGATCAGGCGCTGTTCGGTCGCCATCTTGGAGGTGGAAGAATATTTGTTTTGTTTTTTCCTTTGTGAGTGTCTTTTGCTTTTTTTTTTAATGTAATTGATATCTACATCTTTATTTATGGGAATGCCGAGCACAGTCCAAGAAAATCTTATTGATTGTTATTATTACTATTAATATTGTTGTTGTTTTACCCCTGTTTCCTTGTGCAGTGTTCAAGAAACAAATTACAAGTTATGATAGTATTTAAAATATAAATATATATATTTTTTTTATTTCTTTATGTTGCTACCACCTCGCTGGGTGGTATTTTTTTTTTTTTTTGCATCTTTCATTCTAGTGTCCTCTGCATAAAGATGGATATTTAGATATAAAAGAGACAGTGATATTGGCCCAAAAGAGGGACTGTCCCACCTAAATGGGGACACTTGGGAGGCATGCTACATGATGACATACAAAGTACATACCTCCCAGCAGTGGGCAGGTCTTAATTTACACCACTGGTGACACTGATTTTAGGCTGGTATGCCTGTGAAGTGGGTAGGCTTGCCCACTGAAGGGGGCTTGTCAGCCTGGTCAAGTACACTAGGGTGACAGACAGCCTCCTGGCTACTTTCAAGATCATGCAAAAAGCGATGCACGTCTAATTGTGACCCTGGATACAGAACACTAGGGGGCTAAATTGGGATAGTGAAATGGGACCCCAAAAGCGTGACTTTGGGAGCCTTGAAAGTATGAGATAAGGAGAAAAATAGGGGGATGATGACACGCTGTCCATTAGGGTAACTAGTAGTCACATTGCCCATATAAAGAGCACTCCTGAAAGGGCTGAAATACCTTCATCCTGGCTGTTAAGGTGAGGGCGCAAGGCACTGCTGTAAGTCAGACAGTCTCACAATTTGTATTCCTGGTTAGAATGTTCAGTTTTGTCCATGTTGTGTGTGTCAGCCGAACACTCTCAGCCGATAAGTGCATTCTTGTGCATAGAATATGCCCATTACTAAAGAGCAACTGTTTTTTTTTTGTTTGTTTGTTTTTTAAGTTCGTTACATTTAATAAAAGTCAATAACATATATATTTTTTAAATCATGTATGTTTATTTATTTGAGAAAATTTAAAATTTTTATTAGGTTGGGTAGTGGTTATGCTTATTTCCACCAATGTAAGTAGTCAAACTGATAACGGTTTTGTTCCAGGCTGACTAATAATAACCGCCAGAGGTGGAATTACCACCCGTAACTAGCTGCAGTATACAGGGGCCTTGCACCATGACCACTTCCAAGCTCTGAAGTTGTTATGATGCTTGAAGTAACCCTTTAAATCCCTGCCCAGCTAAAGATTCCAACAGAAATCTGTGAGCGCTGTAAATATCCCATAAACAGTTTCACTGTATCTCAGTAATAAATGAGGAGTTTCAACTCTCCACTTTAGAGTCCTTTTGATCAATTCAGTGTTGACTTCGTGTGTGTGTTATGTAGAAGACCAAACAAAAATCATGTAGAGGTGACCAGTACAAGCTATATAGGAGATATTTCCTGGATGTAAATGAAGAAAGAAATATTTTATAGTTTTTGTTATGAAGATGAATTGATTGATACATCATGTCTACTGGCAGGTTAGAGGCCCATAATGCATTACTGTGGATGAAGGTCCATCACCAAGAAGATGGTCTTTAGATGGTCTTCACTCGCTTGATTGGTCTGCAACCAGCTGGAGGAAAATTCACGGTCCGACTCAATAGGTTAATTCCTCTCTGTCCTTGTCATTATGAGTAGGGTTGTGTGACTGATGTAACTGGGCTCTGGCAGCTGAAGGCTTCCTAGTTGCCAACATGTTTACCACCTTTTCTGTCACAGCATATTTGTGCCAGCTTAATGAAGCGCCTCTGAGTGATCCCCAGCTGCTGCGTCTCTGACCTGTGAAGCCTCGTCCTCTCCTGGAGACACAACACCAGCATCAGCTAGCCCATTCTCACATGTGCCTGCAGGAGACATATTATGCCTCTATTCGTGCTTCAATGGCTCTTCATCTCAGCAAGCGTTTTTGACACATTGCAATGACAAAGACACTGCCTTAACCCCTTAAGGACCAAACTTCTGGATTAAAATGGAATCATGACATATCACACATGTCATGTGTCCTTAAGGGGTTAAAGGGATTTAGAATGCTTGGAGATAAGAACTTTTATGGATCAAGATAAGCAGCAAAGAAATAAAATAAAACTATATATATATATATATATATACACACACACACACACACACACACACACACACACACACACACACACACACACACACACACACACACACGAAAAAATATAGTTTTGAGCATTGGCACTCAGATCAACAAATATATTTTATAAAATATAAATAAATGAATAGATATCTTGAAAAATTAGATCTTGAAAAAGACTCGGTGGGGTCTAAACGCCAATCAGTTATTTGTAATATCGATGGTACATGTTGGCATTTCCTACGAGTGCATCCTTAATGCTGAATATTTCTATATTACTCGGACTGCACTATGTATATGCAGGGGAGGGCTGACAGCCTTAGGCCTGGGGGGCAAAACCAGTCAAGTGGCCCATTGCACCACCAAATCAGTGCAATGGTGCCCACCTTTTCCTGGTTTTATAACAGATATTGATGTTATGCTAATCAGTAGCTCTTTGCCATACCCGCTCCTTCACGGCTCTGACTTTCAATGTTGTCAGAGCGCAGGCTGAGAATCTCTGAGCCTGTGCTCTGACTCACTAACTGAGCGCCGGAACCACGAGGGAGAGGCTATAATCTGACTGCACCTACTGCTGGTGCGCACCAGTGGACCACCAGCGAATCGTTTAAATTGAATAGGCTAGTGTCCCCAACTTGTGAGCTGTGTTGTCCGCCGGGCGCCTCTGTTGTGATGGCACCCTGCGTGACCACACAGCGTGCACACCCCAACGGCTGGCATTGCTGACACACACTGATGTTACTACTTAGAAATCTCTCAATATTAATACAGACATCAGAGTAAACACCAATAAACTGTGGAAACAGAGCTGATCCCACCCAAATTTATAAAGATTTGCTTACTGGATTTGTTGTAAGATTAAATCATGCCTCCTCCTCTCTCTCTTCCATGCGCTGCTCTGTAAGCTGGGAGGAAGTGAAGAGTAATTACAATCTCCCAGCACAGTGGCACCTGTGGCTGCATGGGGAACAGCTATATTTGCCGCCCCCCATGTGACATCACAATGCCCCACCTATATGAGCTGCCATACGAACTAACGCCAGTGCTGCCCACAGTGTGTGTTTACATTAAAAAGCCAGCAGGGACCGGCTATAGACACCAGAACCACTTCATTAAGCTCCAGTCGTTCTGGGGACTATAGTGTCCCTTTAATGTAATGTAAATTATAGATTAGTGTCACTAATAATATACTAGATTGCCTACTTACAACCAAATGAGGATGATGATGGGCTGCAGTTTGCCTCCACTGGTCTGGTGTAGAACAGGATCTCTGGAGGCTGTTTGCAACTGTGGTCACAAAATTCAATGTTCTGGGAGAATTGGAAGCAGCTCCATTTTTTGGGGGGCCCCTTACACAGCTCAATGTCTGGGCCCCAGGGCCTGACTGTGAGTATGCCCACAAGGCCCACTCATAAGTCCACTTATATGTTCCACCCACCCATTAGTTCGCTCACAGGGAGTGGAGTGTGTAGGGGATGTGTTATGTGTTATTGTAGAGGATCTAATATGTGTGCTTATGGTATGTAGTGTATAGGGATACCAGTTTGTGCAAGTGATGCAGTGTGTTTGTGTATAGTGGAAGCAGTGTATAAGGGATGTATTGTGTGTTTCTGGTTGTGTGTAAGGGATGCATTGTGTGAATCTGTGTTTGTATGCATAAGGGATGCAAGGTGTGTGTCTGTAAGTGTGTGCATTGAGTGTGTGTTAGTGATGCATTGTGTTTCTGTGTGTATGTAAGAAAAGCAGTGTGTGTAAGTGTTTGCATTATGTGTTTCTGTGTATGTGTGCAAAGGATTCATTGTCATTGTGTGTGTGTAATGGATGCATTGTGTGTTTCTCTGTGTGTAAGGGAAGCATGTTGTGTTTCTGTGTGTGTAGGGATGCATTTTGTGTTTCTGTGTATGTATATGGATGCATTGTGTGTGTGTGCGCGTAGTGTCCTCTCCTCCCTGTGTTCTCCTCACCTCCCCCTCCCTGTGTTCTCCTTACCACCCACCCTCCCTGTGTTCTTCTCAGTCCCCCCCCTTCTCCTCATCTCCCCTTCTTCTCACTCTTACTCTCCCCCTTCCTCCTTGTGTTCTTCTTACTCCCCCCTTGTTCTTCATACCCCCTTCTTCTTCTTACTCCCCCTCCTCCTCCTTCTGTTCTCCCCCCTCCTTCACTTACTCCCCTCCTCTTTCACTTTCTCCCCCCCTTCACTTTCTCCCCCCCTCCTTCACTTACTCCCTCACCTTCACTTACTCCCCCATCACTCTTACACCCCCTATCTTCACTTACACCCCCCTCCTTCATTAACACCCCCCATCTTCACTTACTCTTCCCCCTTCACTTACTCCCCCATCTTCACTTACTC